TTTGAGTTTTTTTTATTACTCTATGAAAATTCATTTTTTCTTACGACATTTTGAAATTTTTTCCTTCAGATTTCTTTTTTCTTTTTTGCTTTCCACAAGGAAAAATTGCCATCGCTCGCTCGTGTCGTTTAAACGTCGTCAAAAATTTTGCTGTAGGTTAATTCCGAGAGAGAAATAGAGAGAGAAAGAATTAAATAGAAAAAAAATACGAAGAAAAAAAAACAAAAAACATTAACAACAGCAAAAAAAAGTCTTTTTTTAAAAATTAAATTTTACTTTACAACAGGACAACCAACTATTTTTTTACAGTAGCAAAGAAAAAAAACGGTTAAAAACCAATTCAAATTTTTTTTTTTTTTTTTTTTTTTTTTTTACTTCATTTACAAAACTTATTAAATTTATATGTATACATATATGTGTATGTATATACACACACACACACTCGAAAAATAATAATAATAATAATAATAATAATAATAATAAGTCAACGACCATACCGTGCTGGTCACACCGGTTCCCGTACGATCACCGAAGTTAAGCAGCATCGGGCGTGGTGCAAACTTGGAAGGGTGACCGTTTGAGAACGCCACGTGCCGTTGGCTTAAAAAGAGCAAAAAAAAAAATGAGAACAAGACAAAGTAAGAACCAAAAACAAATTTTGTTCTACTGTCGACCTGAGGCAGCTCGACGAGAACGTGAATTTCACTGCTTCTGACCCTGGCCACTCCAAAGATGTTAGTCACTGGAGCCCAGTTCAGGAGACAAATCGTTCCCATCGAATAAAGATGGACTCAGGAAGACCTTCAAGAATTGATGTGGTGCTATCTTATAATAAGTGGCACCACCGAAATTCGAGTATTTGTCCCTAAGGAATCGGGTAGAAACCTCGGATAAATACTTAAAAACCCCGACAAGTAGCCTTGTCGTGTTTAATGGTGGATAATAATAATAATAATGATTAAAATGAATTCGTTTTTAACCGCACACAACCTTAGAGTATATACGTATTTCAATAATACCTTGTTTTTTTCTCTCTGTTAAAAATTTTTATTTATTTATTTATTTATTTGAGCAAGAAAATGGTTTATTGATTTATTTATGTATTTATGTATTTATTTATTGACGGATCGAGGGCTAAATAAATTCGAGAAAAAAATTATTTACAACCAATAAAAATAAAAAATTTTTTTTTTTTTTTCATCTTGTTCTTCCGCGTAACAACAAAATACGACAAAGTTTTTTTGCGAAAATAAAATAAAAAAATTTCATAGAGAAATAAACAAACGACAAACGACAGAAGAAAATGAAAGAAAGAAATAGAAAGAAATTTGCGATTGTGGGGGGAGGCACTTTCATTGATTAATAAAAAATCTGAAAGAAAAAAAAAAAACAAAAATTATTTTTTAAACATTTTATTTATTTATTTAAAAATTTTATTATTATTATTATTATTATTATTATTATTATTTTACATTATGGTATTTTATTATTATTATTTTTTTTTTGACGAAAAATAAGGTTTTAAATTAATAAAAACAAACAAAAAAAATTTCAACAACAAACAAATAAACGTAATTTAAAAAAAAAAAAAGAAAATTTAAAAAAATTATTTTTTATTGTTTATAAACGACTTTCTCTCTTCAATTTATATTATTACTATTATTATTATTTATTTATTTAGTAAAAATACTAATTAAAAAAAAAGAATTACCAACATGACGAAATTAAAAAAAAAAAAAATCGACAGAACGAAGTGACATATATATGCAAAATTATAATTTTCCACATATATTTAAATTAACGAAAAACTCCATAGAGAAAATAAATTCATTTTTTTTTGCCTCGTCGCGTCCACGTTCAGAAACCGAAATTTTCGTTTTTTCCCCTCTCCCCCCTTTCACGAATGTAAACAAAAAAAAAATGCAAAGACTCGTTCATTTCCATTAATTCATTAAAGAAAAAAAAAAAATTTTTAATTTTGTGTTAAAAAAAAAAAGAAAAGTCGTTTATTATTATTATTATTGTTGTTATTATTATTATTATTATTATTATTATTATTATTATTATTATTATTATTAAATAAACAAGAGTTTTCGTTTTAAGCTTTAGTTTTCGATTTAGAAAATTTCAATTAATAAAAATTTAAAAAAAAAACAAAAAAAAATTTTAAAGAAATTAAAAGCCCTCAAATGTTATTATTATCATTATCATTATCATTATTATCATCATCATTATTATTATAATTCGAGATATTTATTTAATTCATTATTTTCGTAAATTTATATATATATATATATATATATATATATATATATATATATATATATATATATAAATCAATCAATCGTAAATTTTTTTATTTTTTATAAATTAATAATAATTAAATTTATTTATTTATTTTTTTACACATTCACCGCACGAATAATTTAATAATAATAATAATAATGATGATAATGATAATGATAATAATAATGAAAATTTTGGAAAAAGTGTATAAACTGCACGAAATTTCCCGTTTTAATAATAATAATAATAATAATCATAAAAGTTTATTTAATTTTTAAAAAATTTTTATTTTAAATAATAATAATGATGACGATGAAATAATTTTAATAATTAATTATTTATTCATTTATTTATTTATTTATTATTATTATTAATTTTTTACATAACTGTACAAAAAAATTACTAATAAACTGTTTTTTTTTAATAAGTTTATACACACACTTTTCCCCCGATTTTATTTTTTTATCGATTTTATTGATTTTATTGATTTTTTTTTTTTTTAATGTTCATACATATGTATAATTATCATTATCATTTTATGTTTTTTTTTTTTTTTAAATATCTACATTTCCCGATTGTTTTTCTTTTTTTTTTTTTTTATTTAAAATTTAAAATCGTACTTACATCATATATATTTTTTGTACAAAACATCACATTAAAAAAAATTGAATAATTGTTCGCACCATAGTCATAAGCATTCGACACGAAACTATCACCACCACCACCATCGACACCATCTTGCAGTTGAAGAGTAAAAAGAAGAAGGAAACAACAGCAACAGCCAACACACAAACTTGAATTCTCATCACCATTCACTATTTTTTCTCTTATAACCTCCGTACTCGTTGTTCATCTTCTTCTTCTTCCTGTAATTTTCCTAAATTTTAATCATCCATTTCCGGTTTATTTTTTTTTCTTTCACGTGTACACGCACGCACGCACGCCCCCTCCCCTTCCCTCTTCGAAAAAACAAACAATTTTCAAATGCTTTGACTTGGTCGGAAACGATAGAAAAAAAAAAAAATTTCAATTTCATTTTTATATATATATTATCATTATTATCATAATCATTATTATTATTAATTATTATTATTATTATTATTATTTTCACTATATTATCGATTTATTTAACGTTTTTTTTTTTTATATTCCAAGTACCATCGCGACGGTCACTTTTTTTTTTTCTTCTTTTTCGGTAACATAATTTAAAAAAAAAAAAAAAATTTCATGATTGTTTGTTTGTTTGTTTGTTTGAGATCTAAATTCTCTTTTAACTTCTTCTTTATCGTATACTTTTTTTTTTTTTTTTGTTAAGTTTAAAACTTGTTACGCGCGTTTTTTTGTCGGTTTAAATACCACAATCCCATAAACTCGCGTATTTTTTTTTTTCGGGGTTGACGACGATGACGAGGAAGGGGAGAAAAAACGAATGGAAAAATATTCGTTCATCTATCTTCTGTTTGTTCGTTTGTTTGTTTGTTTGTTTGTATTTCCGGTTGTTTGGGAAATTGATAACTTTCTTCGAATCGTAACAATTCTCGCCGTAACCCGAAATTAAATTCTCTCTGTAAAAAAAAAACAAAACAAAATCAATGAATTATTTTCGTTCAAAGGTTTTTTTTTTTTTAACGTGGCAGCAACCTTTTATTTAATGATAATAATAATAACATTACTCGTCACACCGGTTAATATATATAATTTTTTATTAGCTCGCGCAAAAAAGAAAAAAAAAAAAAACAATTAACGAAACTCGTATAATTTAATAAAAATTCTCACGTGAATTTTAATTTAAATTAAATTTTCAGGTACGAAAACAGGTTTTTCCCGCGCGAAAAAAAAAAAAAAAAAAATTTATCCGGTTATCGTCATTTATCTCTGATCGTACGTTTTATAAAAAAATGACCAACCACCACCACCACCACCAAGTTTATTTATTTACAAAAAGTCACTCTCAATTAATAATTGTGAAATTTTTTTTTTTTTTTCTAAAAAAGTGAAAGGAACGTTACAAAAAAAAAAGTCAAAGTTTAATGATTATTATTATGATAATAACAAACAACAACAACAACAACAACAACCGAGAGTTACGATTTGAAAAGAGAAAGAGAGAGAGAGAAAGAGAAAAAAAATTTACTTTAAATTATTACGGTAATTAAAATTATTAATTGTTAGCGATCGTTTTTAGGTCGCAAACGCGGCGAGGAGGGAAAGGAGAGGGGAGAAGAGGGGAGGGTTGTTGCTTTTGTCGTTGCCGTTGTTGTTTGTTGTTGTTGTTGTTTTGTAATTTTTTTTGAAACGATTGCGTAAAAAACGCAACAAATTTACTTTATTTCAAGGTTTTTTGAAAGTTTTTTTTTTTTTTTTTTTCATTCGTTTGTGTCCGTTGTTTGTTTGTTTGTTTGTTCGATCAAAAAAGAAAAAAAAAAAAGAAAAATTATTATTGTTGTTGTTGTTATCATAAAAGGTTTGTTGTGTTTTAATAATATCGAGAAAAGTGACTTTTTTTCTTTGTTTTCAATTTGCTGGAGAAAATGGCGATTGGACGGAAAGAAAACCGGGTGGGGATGGGGATAAGGTAGGGAGAGGAGGGAAGAAGGGAAGGATCGAGGCGGGGGGGAAAAAGTAATTTTTTAAACTCACCTTTTTTTTTTTCTTTGCTTTGCTTTTTGTTTTATTCTGTTTGTCTTCTCTTATATTGACTCGGATGACTAGGACTACAGATGGTGGCCGTAATATTGTGGTGGGTAATGATATTCGTTGTGAAAACTAGGATCTCCAGGCGGCCGATGCATCATTTGAGCTTGACCGTCCATCATGTAACCCATTGAACCGTCTGGACTATATGCTCCGCTCGGACCTGCGTGAGGTGAAAAAACTAAAGGTTACCGGGGTCAAATCCCTGTTCTTCACCCGATAAAAGGTGATTGGTAATGTTTTTTTTTTTTGCTTATTGTTTTTGTGTTAGTTTACGACGATGGGTCATCAAGTATCATCCAAAAATTTGTTAATGAAATTTTACTCTCGGGTACGATCGGCGGATTTCGTTAACTTTCGGCGGAAAATTTTTTTCCACCCTTTCGGGGAAAAAAATGACGACGACGACGATGGCGGCGGCGGCTTTCGAGACAGAGAGAGAAAAAAATAATAAAAATAATTTTTATCCCGTAATGTTTTTTTTTTATTTTCCTTTCTTTTAGTTTCTAGTTCCACGAACTTTTTGTTTATCGGCAAAAATATAAAAAAATGAAAAAGCGTGGATAAGAAGAAAAAAGCAAAAAGAGAGAAAGGAATAAATTGATTTTATTTGTCCTCATGAAATTCAATACTTTGCAACAATTTCAATCGGCGTTCCTGGAGAGTTTTCCTTCCAGAAAGAAAGAATGAAAGAAAGAAAAAAAAACTGGAAGAATCGGGAGGAGCCCCCACGCTGGGTTACAACAAATTGACGTGTGTGATTGATGGAAAAAGGGAAAAGCTCCGCTTTCTATTACGATATTTGCTTTTTCTTCCTTCTTATATACCTTTTTCTTCCTTTTTTCTTTTTTTCCTTTTTTTTCTTTCCTTTTGTTTCTCTATCGAACGAATCAAAAAAATTTTCTTTTTTTTTTTTTGTTAATTGGATCCCCTTTTTTTTTCTTTGGAAAAAAATCTTTTTTCGAAATGAAATTTTTCCACGATCCTTTTATTCTTCTTCTTCTTATTATTATTATTAATCAATTATTTTTTTTTGATCTACCCCCTCCCTCCCCCCTCTCTTTTTCTCTTACTATATCGACCGCTTTTTATCTTCTTCGACTGTTTTTTTTTTTTTAAACGCAAAAAGGCGTTCGGATTATAAATAAGAAAAAAAGAAAACCGTTATTGATAAAATATTAGCTGCTTATATATATATTTTTTTCCCGAACGTGAATTACGAACGTTTGAAAAAGGAAAAAAAAAAAAGGAAAAAAAAAGGAAAAAAGAAAATTTTCTTTTTTCTTTTTTTTTTTGATTCTATTGAAAAACCCCCAAGATGAAATCACATAATGTAAACGATAAATCAAACCCTAACCATTGTCCTTCCTTTGAAAGTGGCCGATCACATTCACATCGCTATCACAAATCAATAAAGCCCCCCCCTCTCGTCCTCGTCGTCGCTCTCACCCTCTACCCCTCTCTTCCCCCTCGCTCGCTCACCACACGCACGCACAAACTATCTTATTCCTTTGATTCCTTTTATTTTTATTTTTTTTATTTTTTTTTCTTCTCATAAATTTTCTTTAACAGTTCGTAAGGCTTTTCCATCTCTCTCTCTCTCTATCTCTCTCTCACTCACTCTTTCGTCCATTTAGAGAAAACTGTTCGATAATCGTGGAAAAAGATAAAGTTATAATATCGTCAAAAACTGTCGTCTTTAGTACTAGTCGAGCTTTCCAAGTGACCATAAAACCTTTCTCCTTCCCCTCCCCTTCCTCTCCCCTCCTACCCTTTCCCCATCCCTTTTTTCCTTTTCCATTTTTTCCATTTTGTAGTGAAAAAAAAAAAATTTAAAACGTTTTTGTTTGTTTGTTTGTTTTTTTTTTTTTTTTTTTTTTTTTTTTTACCAGACGTAAATATTTTGAGAATTGAGACGTTTTCGCCGTTTGTTCATTTTTCACTTTTCCAGCCTGCCCCCTACCTTCTCTCCCCTTCTTTCTCTTCATCCCCTCGTACTCGCTCCAAAAAACGAAAAAATTATTCTTATATCCTATTATTAACTTTTGGTATTTTGTCGTTTCGTGTACGAACACGAAAAGTTTTTTTTTTTTTTGCTTTATTTCCGGTTTTGAAAAAATTTATCCCTTTTACTTCCGTTTCCTTTTACTTACTCGCGTATATACGATAGTAGTAGTAGTAGTTAAACGATTGCGTAAAAGTTTTTTTTTTGGAAATAAATCCTTTTCCACCATTAAAAATTTCAACCGTATAAAAGCTTTGGGAAAAAAAGCAAAAAAAAAAAAAAAAAGGAAAAAATCGAAAACCTTTGGAAAAAAGGAAAAAAAAAGGAAAGAGAGAAAAAGAGAAAGAGAAAGAGAGAGAGAAAAAGTTGAAAAGTGTCTGAAAAATAACTTTTATTGTCAGTCATTTGAAAATTGCTTTTTTCTTTTATATAAAAACTAAAATTTTCCATCTCTCTCACACACACTCTCTCACTCTCTCTCTCTCTCTCTCTTTCATTTTTTCCCTTTTACCCTTCCAGAAAACCGTGACTAATGATCCAAACTCCAGACTTGGGTTCGTTCGCTTTTATTTTATTTTTTGGGCGCAAATATAAACTTTAATAAAAACTTTTTTCTGTTCTTTTTTTAACGTCTAAAATTTGACCGGAAAAACCCTTGAAAAAAACTAACCGGAAATAGAACAAAAAAAAAAAGAAAAAAAACAAAAAAGAAAATTTTCACGATAAACGACACCGATGGGGACAATACGAAACGATATACAAATTACAACATTCGACGTTAAGAGTTTTTTTTTTTCCTTTTTTCCTTTTATTCCTTTGGCCGTTTACCATTTAAAAAAAAAAAATGGAAACAAACATCATCCTCTGAGATTTTACGACTTTTTATTATACGAATATAGCTTATTTTTTCCTTTTTTTTCCTTTGTTTTATTACGTTATCGCGATTTGAATAAACGTTTTTTTTTTCTCCTTCCCGGATAGTGAATTTTTTCTTTGGTCGCCGCCGCTTCCGTTTCCGCTTCCGCCATTTCCGCCAAATTTTTTTCACGTTAACTGTACTTACCCTTTTAATAACCGTACCGAATTTATACCTAACTAAATAATTTACTGAACAAAATCAAAAATAAAAAAAAAAGCCTAATCGTGCAAATACTTGACCCCTTATTTTTTTTTTTCTACCGAAAGGTTGGTAGAATTGATTAAAAAATAAATAAATAAAAGTAAAAAAAAAAGTTCTCAGAGCGAACTTACCCGCTCGATTGGACTGGTCAATCATGGGCTGAACGATCCTGCGGCGGGCATTGATGAACCTTTTTGAAAAGAAAAAGAAAGAAGAGAAAGAGGGATTAGGACCCAGAAAAATAATTTTTACTCGACTAACTTACCACTTACTCCACCTGCTCGATTCGATTGGTCAATTAACGGCTGAACAATCCTCCGCCTTGCATTGATGAACCTAAAAATACAAAAATTTAAGCGCACGACCTGGATAGTTATCATCATCATCATCATCACCACCGCTCTGCCTCTGCCTGCCTCTCCTTCGTCTGTCCTTTATCACTAAAACCACCCCTAAGAGTATATGATCAATATGATGATGACGACGACGATGATGACGTCACAACTGTAATAAATACTACTACGTTAATTGTTTTTTTTTATGTTGTTTCGAATTCGATCATCACCACAGATGCAACAACCGGCGAAATCGTATTAATTTTTTTACGATTTGATATGTTGTCTTCTGACACGTCAATTTTTTTTTTTTTTAAAATGTTGTTTTCGAATGTGAAATACAAAAAAAAAAAAAAAAAAAACTCGAAACCTGAAAAAAAATAACAACATTAATCCGCGTCTCTTTTTCTCTTATTATTCTTCTTCCACTTTTTTTTCTCCTCTTCTTCTTCTTCCACGTCTTCTTATCGTTAGAATCTGTTACTAAAAAAAAATATAAAAAATTTTCTGTTTACGTCTAGAGAGAAAAAAAAAAAAACTTTAATATAATTAGTAGAAAAAATAAAAATCGTTTCACGTTAATTAAAAAAAAAATTTTTTTCTTTCTCATCTTTCTCTTCGGCGTCGCCATTTTGAAATTTTTTATTAAAAAAAACATCATCGTTATCATCATCATCATCATCATCATCATCATCATCATCATTATTATTATTAAATTTTTAAATTTTTATTTTTATTTACGCGGTGACTGCGACTTTTTCGAAAAAAACTACGATTCCGCGCCTTTTTTTTTTTCTCCAGAATGTTCGAAAAATTCTACCGGTTTTTTTTTTTGGTCTTATCACGATTTTCTTGTCAATTAATTTTTTTTTTTGAAAAATTCCAGCTACCTTACTGGAGAAAAAAAAATAAAAAAATTTATGATAACTCTAATCTAATTAATCATCTTCCAGATCAAATTTTTTTCCAAACTGTAAATCTAAATATGGCTTCTTGAAAATAAAAAATAAAATAAAAACTTTAATCGTTTACACGATAATAATAATGATAACGATGATAATAATAATGATAATGATAATAATGATGATAAAAAACGAGAAAGGTATTCAGTTATATATGACTGTCGAATTTTTCTGTAATAAATCAACATTCATCAAAATAACAATAAATAATAATAAAAAAAAATTTAAAATTTGGCGCGAAATTTTAAAAATTTAAATTTTGGCGTGAAATTATAAAAATTTAAATTTTGGCGCGAAATTATAAAAATTTAAATTTTGGCGCGAAATTTTAAAAATTTAAATTTAGGCACGAAATTATAAAAATTCAAAAAATTGTTTTGTTACTCATTCAATTTAACATTGAATCGATATAACAAAAAAAAAGGTGCAAAAAATTATTTACTCACAAAAAATTTTTTAAAGTATTTTTTTAATAAATAAAAACGGTTGCCAACTTATGAAAAAAAAAAAGTTAAAAAAATGTATTAATTACAAATAATAATATCCTGGAATGCGTTTATTTACATCACACACCCTCTCTCTCTTTCTCTCTCTCTCTCTTCTATTTTTTTTCTAACCATTATCACACTTTGCATTAATTGCAAAATCAATACTTATTCTTCTTATTCTTCTTGTTTCTCTCCCACTCTTTAAACAGTTAGTCAAAATAGAGAGAGTGAGAGAGAGAGAGAATAAAAGGGACATTTCACCCCAATGTGATGGATTTGATCCATGATCACCCCCGAGTAACTCCGATAGAAAATGAGAGAGAATGAGAGTGAGTGAGAGAGACAGAAGCACAACGCTAACGTTATACACAAACCGTTTTTTTTTTTTTTTAATTTCAATGAATCCAACAATCGAACAACGGGAAATACGTGCAAAAAAACTAAAAAAACGGAACCGGAAATAACAAAATGTAGCAAAGAAGAGGAAACAAAGAAGATGATTTTCAGGTTTGAAACGAACGAATTCCTCTCCATCGTTCAAAAGAATCAAGAGTAGAAGAGAGAGAACCAAACAGCATCTGCATCATTTGAAAAGAAAAGGCAATTAAGTATTTGATACTCTTTCACCCCCGATTCTAAATCCGTATTAACGTCTTAGTCAGTCACAAGGGGTGGAAATGTTATTTTTAAAAATATTTACACCCTGTTTGAACACAGCGTGAATTCGACGTTTGTGAACGTGTGTGTGCGTATGTGTGTGTGTGGGTATACGTATAAAAAGAATACGAATACTTTCACATGATGGCAGCGGTAGGGGTGGTAGCGGTCGTGTCGGTGGTAACGTTTCAAACTATTCAGGTGAGAGGAGTTTTTCTTTGACGTTGTCAGTTTCATATAACAATTACCTTGTTAAATAATTCTTCGTGCACGGTGTATGATGATCTTCTTCTTCTCATTTACCATCCATTATGATGAATAAAATGCTCCTTCATTTAATTAGAAATTGTTATCGTTACTTCTCTTTCTCTCTTCCCCTCTCTCTTCCCTCTCCCCCACCCTCTCTCTCTTTTTGTGTGTGTGTGACGTGATTCCATCAAATTTAAATATTTTCTTAATTTGAAAACGCGTGCACCACCACCATTTTTTTTTCTTTCGTTCTTTCGTTCGTTCGACAATCACTGACAATGATTCGACAATTTTTAACCTCCTCGTGGAGGATTTGATTCTTATGCCACGATTAAAAAAAAAAAATTATTATTACTTTTATTATTATTATTATTAACCGATTATTCGCTCGAATTAAAAAAAAAATTTTTTTTTTTTTTTAGCGAGCGACGTGTCAAAAGAAAAGAAAGCGCGCGCGTTGGCGAAAAGGAAAGCAATAATAAAAAAAAATTGACAATTGTTTTGAAAAAAAAGGCGTAAATCAGTTGTTAAAGGCACGACCTTATTATTATTATTATTATTATCATCATCGAGAAAAATTTTTTTTTTTGATTACGCCCGACGATTGACTGACTGACTGACTGAGTCAATCTCATCGTACATTTCGCGTTTATTAAAAAAAAAAAAATTCAAAAGTCACGACTCGAATGTTTAATAATAATAATAATAATAATAATAATAATAATAATAATAATAATAATAATAATAATAATGATTATGATTATAAGAAATGGCAAAAGTCTTGGTAAAAGTATTAAATTAACATTAAATGATATTGCAACAAGTTTAAATTGTATTTATGTTCTCGATAGTTTGTTGTTGTTGTTGTTATTATTATTATTATCATTATTATTATCGTGAACGGTGACCCTCTAAACCCTCTCCCTCCACGTTATTTCTTATTTCTTCTTCCGTCGTGGTGGAACGCGACGGAAATCTTTAATTTTGACATTGAAATAAACTATTAAATTACATCCTCTCCTTTTATATATATATTTTCCCGTAGAGTCGAGGTAGCAGCGGTGGTGGTGGTGGTAGTGGTAGCAGCAGCAACAGCAGCAGTAGGAGTAGTAAGTAATATAAACAAGCTGTTACCAGAAAAGTTTCTCACATTGTCAGTAACTATGGACCTGACCTCCGAACTTATTCGAACCCTTTTGAAAATGAAATTTTCCAAAGAGTGAGAGAGTGAGAGAGAGAGAGAGAGAAGATGGGGAAATATTTTTTCTCCGAATAAGCTAAAAACAAAAGCTGAGCAAACGATATATATATATATATATATATATATATATATATATATATATATATATATATATATATATATATATATATATATATATATATATATATATAATTGGTATACGATCGAAATATATTTCCGACGGGTTATTTTCCTTTCTTTTCCTTTTCCATTTTTTGCTTTTTATCCTTTTTTCCTTTTCTTTCCAGTCAGATTTCAAATGTTATTATTTTATATTAAGTTGTTGAAATAATAAAATATTTTTGAAAATGGGCAGCAACAGATGTAAATTATGTTTTTTCCCTCGTATTAACGTTTAACTTTTAGACGTTTTTTGATTTATTCTTCCTTCTTCTTCCACTTCCACTTGTCCTCGTCACCTCATCGAATTTCGTCATCATCAAAAAATCAAGAAAAAAGGGGGGAGAAGGGGAAAAACTACTTGAATAACAATAATAATTTTAACCTTTAGTACCACCACACACACGCGCACGTTTTAATTTTTCCGAAAAATGTGTGTGTGAGAGAGAGAGAGGATGGAAAAACGAACATTTATACAAAATCAAAAAGTCAATAAAATCCGGTGAGGGGAGAGGAGGGGAGGTGAAGGGGCGGGGACGTATGAGGGAAATAAAGTAATGTGGAAAAGTTGAAGAAAAAAAAAAAAACACGCCTTTAAAAAACTATTTTCCATATTATTCACTGAGTCAGCAATGGCGGCGGCGATGTCGGTGGCGGCGGCGGGAGTAGAGGAGGAATAAGAGAAATCGCAGGAGGTTTTTTTTTTATGAATTATAAAAAAAGAAGAAGAAGAAGAAGAAGAATACGAATAATAATAATAATAATAAAAGGAAATGCAAAATGGTTAAAGTTGGAAAAGATTCACATAGGGCTCATGTTTTTTTTTTTTTTTTTTTTTTTTCTAGGCAATTTGTTGGCGAGAACATTAATCACGTGACATGCCAGTCACGGATGAGTGACGTCGCACTCTCCTCCCCTCGACCCACCTCCCCATCCCACCCACGCCATGGGACTCACTCTTGGTTTTCGATCTGCTCCAGCGATTAGAATGAGCCCAAAAGGGTAGAGAGAGAGAAAGAGAAAAAGAGAGAAAGAGAGAGAAGGAAAAACAAGGGCTTGGAAAGATATTATTACTTTCCATAAGAAATTACTTTTCTCACTTTTCCGAATTCCTCTCTCTTATATTTTCAAAGAATTCGAATTTTCCAATTTGAAAATTACAACGAGAAGAAAAAAAAAAAAAACTTTTCCGACCGTTTAATTGGGATTTCAAAATGGCGGCGGGTAAAATGCGACGTTTCTCGATGATTCCCGAATCGTAAAAATTTCGATTAAAAAAAAAAAAAAAAAAAAAAAAAAAAACAACCAACAACAACAAACACAAACATTAAAACTAATATATAAAATCGTGTTTTGCGTTAGAAAATAAAAAAAGTTTTTAGGAAATTATTGAAGAAAGAAAATGGCGTCGGGGATGAAGAAAAAAAAATCCTTAAAAATTAGTTGACCGTTGGATGTCGAATAGAAACGATCGCTAATATCCTTATCGTGGAACTAGAAAAAAAAAAAAGGTCGTTTGTTGAATGATTGTGGTGGCATTTCTCGGAAAAACCACCCACCCCCCACGTCTCTCGTATCGATGAGGGCTAATACTACACATATATATGGGGGGGAAAAAAAGAAAAAATTGCTACTTGAGAGTACTTTCTATGCCTCTCACACGGGCATTTTATCAAGAACTAACAATTGCTCAGCTTTCCTTTTAACTTTTCTTCCTCCTCCTTCAACCCCTACCCCTACCCCTCCTCAACCTCCTTTCTTCGCTTAATTCCAAATGGAAAATTTTTTCTTTCCTCTTACCAATTTCTTCAGACTTTCGCACGGACATTTCTCTCAAATAATATTTTTAACGTCTAAGCAGCAAACAGTCGGATTTTATAGTCTTAGAAAAATCAAAAGACGACGAAAAGGTGTCAAAACTCGTATCTACTGCCACGTGGGCAATAAATTCAACAGTCAAAAAAAAGAACAACAACGGTAAGGGAAAAAAGGTTAAAAAAAAAAAAAATTAGCGTCGTAAACGATGATAAACGGTAAAAATAATAAAATAAATGAAAACCCTTCTTCCCCCCACCCCCCGAAATAAAAAAATAAAAAGTTCATTAACGAGGGTAGTAAGTAAAAAAAAAAAAAAAAAAGGGGTGAGAAAACTAATTTGAAAAAGATGAAAAAACACAAACTCGTATATATACGAAAGGGAATCATCATTAGTCTGAATTATTTTTGCTTGTTCGCTTTCTTGACCCCCTCCCCTGACCTCTCACTCTTCTCCCACCACGTTTCTTCATACGCCGCCATATTCATTCACTCAATCATTCATTCATTCATTCATTCATTCATTCCCCCGTTGACACAAACGAATGTTTTTTTTTTACCCTTTGTTTTTTTTCCTTCTTCTTCTTCACCCTTCTATAAAGGAAAACACTCTCGTTGGAAAATTTTATACATCTCTCTCTCTCTCTCTAAACGATTCCCTACCAACTACCACCATTACTATTACGGCGACAACGTAATGGAAAAATCGTATAAAATTTCTTCACCCTCTTGCAGAAAAAAAAAGGGTTGAAATATATATATATATAAAAACTACATAAAATGTCCATGTTTCTTCTTCTCCTTCTTTCTCTAAATGAAATAAAAATTATTTAATTAATTTTAACTTGACTTGAATACGACGATGCAACAACAACAAACAAACAACAAACAACAACATTTATACAGTCCTCTATACAAACTCTTTTGTCGTGACGTCATAACGATATTTTCATCCTTTTACATTTTATATTTAAAAAAAAAAATCATTCGATAAAAAATCATCATTTTCTTTTGTTTTGGGAGGGGGAAAGGGGAGAAGAGGAGGAGGAAGGAGGGAAGGGAAAAGAAAGCAGAAGAAATCGTCAATTACTAAAAGAATCGTATTAGAAAACAAAAACAAAACAAAACAAAAAAATGTTGTAGCAGGACGAAACACAATCGCATTAGTGGAACTTTATACCCAATCAGAAATGGCTAATAGTCACCACCCTAGGGGTAAGACGAGTGAAATTCACTGGGGATTCTTCGAAAACCGATTTTCCAACAACAACAACAACAACCCTTTCTTTCGTTGTTTGTTTGTTTGTTTAAGATTTTATATAGCGTGTTTTTTTTTTTTTTTAATCGAATGTTTTTAAAACATTCTTCGTATGGTAACAAACGTTAGAAAAACATTCGCACCTGCACCGCCGCCACCACCACCACGCCAAGGACCCTTCACTCCACCACTTAGCTAAACCCTTTCGAAATAGTTTTGTCCTCCGGGGAAAATGAATAAGAAGTTGAAGGGAAGAAAAAAAAACCCGGTTGGCTGACTGTATGGATGGCTGTATGGTTCGCCGGTTGGTTGGCTGGTTGGTCTCTCAATTATTCAGGCACAAAACGGATAAAAAACACTCGGAGCAATTAATATAAAAGTTTTATGAAGGACGGAGATTGTGAGCGAGGGGGGGGAGAAATGGGAAGGAGGGGGGTAAACGGAGAGTTTTCGAAAGGAAACGATTAAACCGAATGAAAATATTATCTCGTTGTTTTTAACCCCTTTGAACGTTTAACCCTTGAATTGGGATTTGGGACTCTTTTTTTCCACCTTGCCGCAGACAAGGCATCACGGAGCGTACCCTCCACCCCCACCTCCATCCCTTATATCCCTTA